ATGGTTCCCACTCTTTTCCCACTCTACGAGTGTATATGTTTTGTTGAAAATGTTATTAATTATAGGCGCACCCTAATTTGTTGCCTTCGGGGCCGAGTTGGACGAGTTAGTTGGGTAATTTGCCTCTGGCCAAGTCCCCAAAGTCATCAGAATGTGCTGAAAGCCTATATTAATTGCATTTTAATGAAACAGAAAAGTTTCCGGCCCATAGCGAACCCTTTTTCTGTTGAATCTAGATCTCTAACAAGATCCTAACTGCCCGATACGAATGGACTTGTTAATGATATGGTAAATGCACACAGTCCTTGGAGTCCTTCTCCGCGGGCTAGGAGAGATTTACCTCCTATCTATCTCTCTCTCTTGTGGCCTTTATTGGTCAGACCACAAATGAAATTAAATATTCGCAGCTGGAAAAACGAAATATATAAAAATATGGAAGCTCTCTCTGTGGCCTGCCTGTCCTATTTGTTATTTTCCTTGCATTATCAGGCGCCACACAAAAAAGAGAGAGGAAGAAAAAAAATCAAATAAATAAAGCTCGCATATAGCGAGGCTTATATGGCACATCTGTTCTGTCGGTGTGTCCGTGTGTCCGTGGGTTGTGTAGGTGTATTGTTGCTGATAAAAAATTCATTAATTCATATACAAAATGCAATTAAGCGCAGTGGCTGCCACAATAAAAACACGAAATCCGTGACGACCAACTAACAAAAAAAACACCAAACCAGAAACGAAACGAAATGAAATGAAGAATCGTCTAGGCTAGGAATACCCTGTGCACTTTATGGATATATATATATATCAGATAATGTGTAGAATATTTCCATGGATAAATGTGTTTATGGACCTCAAATCGAAATTTGTCAGAGGGTATCAAAAAGTGGCATGCCGCCTGGCAAATGGTGAGTGGGCGTGGGGCAGGGTATAACAGCAAACGCAGCAGTTAAATTAACAAATTGCATGCATATTTTAATAAAATAAATATTTTAATAAGATTAAACTATAATGCAGCCAAATGTCAAAGCCGCGCGCGCTTTTTCCCCAGCGGATAACACACTCAAATGCAATCCAAAGGAAAAAAATGATGCTCTGCCGTATTTAAACCAAACAAAAAAAATGGCAAATAATTGCACTGTTTTTTCGCGCTTTTTGTTTAATTTATGCGGTTTTCAATTACCCCTTTGATATGAATTAATGACCGCATAACAATGCATAATCCTCAGGCTCCATATCGCACTCTGGCACCCTCTGCTGCCTCTGACGCTCCTCACATAATTTAATTAAACATTTTGTGGCAGGTGTAGCGGGTCAGGGGAGGAGAGGATATCATGTTGCAACCACCCTCCCCCCTGCCCTACTGTAGTTGCTGTTGCTTTCTTTGGCTGACATTTGCCAATCGGTTTGTGTTGCATGCTGCCTGCTGTCTGCTGCCTGCTGGCTACTGCCTTCACAGAATTGTTGCTAGCGAATTCCTGCAACTACAAACTAAACCACAAAAACAACTGCGGCAAGTACAGCAACAACATTCTTTTGTTGCTCGTCGGGGCAGCAAAATTTCATGCTTGTGTAAACTATTTGTCGACAATTTTGTCTGCTACAAAAGTCCGCATGCCACAAGACCAGACCAGGCCAGAGCGGACCCCATGCAGCAGAGCGCAGACACCAACTTGTGGCCGCTGCCGCTGCCACTGCCACTGCCACTGCCGCTGCCACTGCAACTTGTGGCAGCAAAGCGTTGAAGCGCGCGCTGCTGGCACGGCACGAACATCGCTCAGCTTTGGCCTTAGCTTGGGGCCTGGTCTAATGATTCCCCGACTTCTGGCACTGGCACTCCCCGCCAATCAAGTGCAGGGCCCGGCACATCCTTGGGGCAGACAGAGTACATAAACAATGATTGAAATCAATGCAAAATGCTATCAGTGGAGTGGCGGGAGGGGGGCAGAACGTTCCAGGGCTCCTTCCGCTTGGGTTCGGTTCGGTTTGGGTCCTTATCTGGAATGAAAAGTTTGGCGCGTTTAAAGTAAGTTTACGTGTAGCACGGCAAAGTGCATTGATAAGGCTGCTGCAACCCGTCCTGGCTCGTCCTGGTCTGCACTTTCTTTGCCTTTTGCTGATTAGTCGATCAATGTTCGGTCTGAACTGAATCAAGCTTTTAAATATGCAAAAAAAAGGGGGAAAAAGTGAAGTGAAGCCATGCCAGCGGCATTAAGAGCTCTTAAGACTCGAACCAGTTTCAGAACCTCTCCGAACCAGTCCCCTGCCTCACTGCCATTACCCCTTTCCTCGCTCTGCCTCTCCCTTTGGCCAGCTCCATTATAGCTCATTATCGCCCCGAGCCACAACATCTTACATTATGCTGATGAGTTTTTTGGCCATTCTAATAGGAAAAGGCCTCTCTGCTAATTTATAAAAATAGAAGAAAAGAGGAAGAAAAAACCCAAGGAAAACGAAATACAAAATGCGGCTACCTCTGGCTGGCCTGGTCTGGTCTGGTCTGGCTGTTCATTAAATGACTGCCACGCCCACCAATGGCTGTTCATTAATTGTTGACAATGATTACCTGGCCCTCAAGAAAATGAAACGAAACGAAACTAAAGCAAAAAGCGGACTCGGCCTGGCTCTGGCAGTGAGTTCTCTTTTGGGTTTTGGGATTGCCTTGGGGTTGGGGCGATGGGCGATGGGCGATGGGTGATGGCCCAAGCGAATGCAATTTCAATTTTCAACGACAGGTGATAAATAAATCGAAACGCAACGAATTGAAATGAATCGACAGAGGCAACAGCAGCGAACAGCAGCGGTGGCATCGTCTCATCCATCGGCAATCGATTCGCTGCGTTGCGAATGAAATTGCGCCATATTTGGGCGTTATTTGTTGCCCGACTTCAAGGTGGGAGAGTAGCAGGAGGGGCGGGAGGTAGGAGTAGGCACCAGCCTCAGGACAAAGACACTAAAGCAGCTCAAGACTGGGTCTCGGACGGGGACTGCGACTGGGTCTGGGTCTGGGTCTGCGACTTGGACTCTGAGCTCTACCTCTGACTGAGGCGTTGGCAATGAGCGTCGAAGGCATTTAATTGCCACCACGGCATTTTGACGTCTACGCATCAGGGAGAGACCAGGACAGAGACGGCGACAGAGTCCCAGTGCCAGTCCAAGTCCCAGACCCTCTACTCTCTGTTTCCGAAAGGTGTTTTGTCGCCAGTCGAGAGCCCTGTCCTGTCCTGCCCTGCCCTGTCCTGTACCGATCCGCCCTCCAATTGAGTGCGAATTGGCATTTCATTTGGCGCATTTGGCATTTTCGGGGAGCGTTGATCATTTAGCCGTGTTTAGTGTCCGTCGTTGTTGCGCTTTTTAATTTCGTTTTGTGCTCACGAAACACACACACACACACACACACACACACACACACACACACACAAAATACAAGATACAACGAGACCAGGCCATGCCACAAAATGATTTAAGATGTTCGACTGTCATCGGTGACAACATTGACAGTAAAATTATTTCTACGCGCTGCAGAAGGTTAATTATCGTTGATTTATTTACAACAAATCAAGTCGACGAATACGATAAAAATACAATAAAATTACAGAAATAAACCTGCAGAATTTTACAATAAGTAAATGGAAATCAGGGCAGATGATCATGATCATCAGGAGGCTAGTATTCCTCTCAAGTCGGGGAGATTCGGTATCATTCTCTATGAAAAAGAAAAGGAATGTTCTGTGCGATTAACTCTTTTTGTTGATACGAAAAATAAAACCATTTAATGCGATATTATTGCCATTTTTCGGCTTAAGTGTAGCTGCAAAAATGTTTATGGCCTTAAAACGCCATTAAATGTCAGAAAATAAAAATAGCAAATAATTTAATAATTTATCGAAATAAAATGCGTGCAAATAAAATGCTCGAAAAAAAGATAAAGCACAAAAATTAAAAACGAAAAAAAAAACACACACAACCTGACAGCCATAAATAATTAACAATACAAAAAGAGAGATGAAGCGGCCGAAGAGGATTCTGCGTTAATTTGCATTTTTGTTTTATGATAACAAAAAAAAAAAAAATCGAAAAATGCGAAAAAGTAAAACATTTTCAGCAACAAACATGGCAAACCGCAGGCAAAATTAAAACACGAGCACAATGTAAAAATATTAAATTAACATTAACAGGGAAATGAAGGCGGTTAGGCAAGAGTGGGAGGGGGTGGGCGGGGAGGGGCATGGTGTGGCGTGTGCGTGCTTGTCAAAGTGAATTTAAAATAATTATTGTACATTATGCGCCGCAATGCGTATTAAATTAAATGCTGCACAATAATAAAATTAATCAAGCAACAAAACAAAATTAAACCAACAAAAAACGCGCTAGAATAAAGAGCGAGAGAGAGAGGGAGTGGGAGAGGGAGAGAGGAAGGGCCAAAAATTGCAGGAAGGTGACAGACAAAAGCCCAATAGAGCCACACAAAAACTATAGACAGCACGAACAAAAATAAAATGGTTGTAATTAAGCGTTTTAATGCTGCAATTATGGATAAAGAGTGGGAAGCACACACACACACACACACACACACGTAATGGTTGGATGAACACGAAGTCCTGCATATCCTTTTGGATAAATGGAAATAAGGGGATTTACAACAAATTTTAGAGCATTTTTCGTTTGAAAAATTGTCAAAAATAAAGCAAAAAAGTCAGGCCTATAAAAATTACCAAATCTTATAGAAAATTGATTAGTTTAGGGATACAATAAAGTAAATATATACACTATAAAATTCTTTATATACCCTCCTTATAGCCAGGGTATCATTTTACAAAAAAATTCCCATTTGAGTGCATTTTTTTGGGGATTATAAAAACATTTGCGTTTAATCCGAGAATATTATTTATTGGTAATTAGTTGAATGAATGCGGCCAACCCCACCAATGATTCCTTTACAAAATCCTAATTGAAATAAATATGCATTTGGCTAATTCTCTGCTGTATTTTCTTTCCCGTTTCAGATGGTAAGTTCTTATCATCACTCAATCCTTCAGAACTAACATATGATGGTAAGTCACATTCCACATTAAGTCATTTAACACATTTGTGTAGAGTAGAGATACTTACTATATATACTTAGATGATAGATTAGAGGCTAGAGGGGGACAGGGGGACAGGGTACACGTGCTGACTTCCAGTTCGCACATCAATCAAAGCTGGCCGGAAAAAAGGCTGGGGCATCGATCAGTTTTGGGGGGCTTTGATGTCTGTCTGATGGCTGTCACTAATCCTGTTCGCGATCACGTTCCGGCCCGATCCACGCCCAGTTTGCGCACGGTTGCGGCTTCCTGTTCTGCTGTTCTCCTCTTCAAAATGAGAAATTTCTTTTTAATTTAGACTTAAACAGACTCGCCGCTACTTGGGACAGCTGATAAAAAATCATTATAAAGTTAAATTTTAATTAAAAACTACAATCGATTAAAAGGGGGAAGAAGCTAAACAAAGGCCAGGGCCAGAGCCAGAGCCAGGGACAGTGGCAGTGGCGGGCGACTGTCTGCGGCTCATAAATTGAACATCGGCGGTCTCCGAGCTTTCAACGTGCATGTGGCCACGCCCCCCCTCGACCAGACAGCCGGACAGGGGGACAGCAGGACAGCAGGACAGCAGTCATCCCCATTCAGTGGGACCAACCATCACAATGATGATGAACTTGTGCCAATTTTTTTGATGTGAAAATCTGTTCAGCGCTCCTCGCTGCTGCTGTGCGCAGTGGCAGTTTCGATGATGTCCGAGGGCTGATAGTTGGACGCTTGCGTCATGGCCATGCCCCCTTCCCGCCACTGCCTGGCTGGCGTGCCCCTTGCGTTTGTGGCATTATATAAGCGTATGAGCATTTCGCTTTCATTAATGAACATGAGGCGAACGAACGGCACGTGAATTGAAATTTGATTTATGATCGCGCTCCACACAGTGTGCGGGGTTCTTAACCCGACCAAGAACCAGCCCATAGCCATTCCGTCGGGCCGTCGGCAGCCGCCTCTTGGGCTCATAAAAGTCCCCGCTGCAGGACACAGTTTTCCCCCCCATCTTTATGATGCGTTAAATTGAAGAATGGTGTGCCGGGGCATTTAAATCGTTAAACCTCCGCGGTAATATCTGAAAAATATTTCCAGAACGCCTTCAATTCGATTGTTTTTCCGGGATTGCGGGGTGCGGAGCGGAGCGGGACTGGGAGACCCACTAACCCACAGAAACAAGTGGTTCGTTTGCTCTTGTAGGCTCGGCTCGGCTCGGAACAATATGCCAAAAGTGTAATTTGTATTATTTTCGCCAGGTTTGCGGGGGGGCGCAGACAGCCGGGGGGGGTCAGGGCCAGGCGCAAGGCCCAGACAGAAACAGAGACGGAGACAGCGAGCGAGAGCGAGAGGCGAGCATTTAAGCACAACTTTAAATAATCGTCTGTCAGAACTGTCAAACAAGCCGGCAAGCGCTAGAATTAATGGCGTAAGAGAAAGAGGGGAAGAGAGAGATAGGGAGAGAGAGAGAGACAGCTGGTGGCTGCAATTTGTTGGGCCCTGCGCAGGCGCAAAGCGTCCATTGAACCTGCACTGTGCCCGGTTCGTCTCGGCCCTGCCCTGCCCGGCCGTGTGGTATGTGGAGCACAGTGCCAAAGTTGCCACAAGTTGAATTATTGTTTCTGCTGCTGCCTCTTGTTGTTGTTGTATTTATTGCTAAGGGAGCAGCGACAGAACAGAGCAGAGCAGAGCAGAACAGAGCAGCGCAGAGCAGCGCAGTCGCAGCGAGCTAAAAACAATGTCGACGTCGCTGCCATTGCCATTGCGGTGCTTTATCACTTTTGCCGCTGTTGCTGCTGTTTCTGTCCCTCTCTGGAGTATCTGTGTGTATGTGTGTGTGTGTGTGGCAGGGCTGTGTGGCAGTGTGTTTGTTGAAGTTTACACAAAATTAATGCGCTGCGCCGCAGCGGGCGAACTTTCAACTGTTGCTGGTTGCCGCTGCCGCTGCTTCTGCTGCTGCTGCTGCCTCAAGATGAAAAATTATTGCTTTTAATTTATTGCATAAACAAAGGCAGCAGCACCACCAATATGTATGTGTGTGTAACGGCTCTCAAGGTCATGGTTAAAGAGTGCCCGCACACACAAACAAACAAACACACACACACACACACACACACACAGAGCCAGACTGTGCTGCTTGGGGCTTTCCCCGGCGTCGCTGCCAACTGTCAAAAATGATTTAGTAGTTCAAAGCCGCGTTTTGTGCTCGATGCCGCCGCCGTCGCAGTCTCAGTCGCTGCCTCTGCCTCTGTCTCTGCTGCAAAAGTGCGAAAAGTGATGCGGATAGGGGACAGCGGACAGGGGACAGCGGACATCGGACAGGAGCTGTCAAATGCAAATACAGTAACAACAGCTACTGCCACACTTTTGACACATTGCAAGCGGCAGCGAATTTTGACAGTTAGCAAAGGTCAAACTGAAAGTAAAAGTTGACGGACGGTGTAGCCCTGGGGGGGCTGGGGGGCTGCATGATAGATTGACATCATTCAGCCTTTCATTCACTTGTCAAGTGCATGGCCGCCTGGCCGCCTGGCCGCCTGTCTGCCGCTGAAACATTAGTTTTTTATAGTTCATTGAGCTCCATTCTCGCGAAAGAAGAGGAGCAGCAGCAGCATCATCATCATTGACAGCCAGAAACAATAAACTGACAAATCAAAATCAAAAACAACAACAACACAAATTAGCTAGTCATAAAAGATACAGCTATAGATACAGATACAGATACAGAGGGGGGACCCATCCAAATGGCAAACTGTTGATAGATCATTCGAAATAAATACAACACAGACTTTGATTTATGATGTTTGATAAATGAGAATTTAATAAATTTTTAGCTTATATCGCTTTTTTAGTGTGTGTGTGCGCGACGTGACTGTAAAGCCAGTGCCGAGCGGGCCGGGCCGTGCTGAATGGCAATTAAAAGTGGGGGGGGATATCCGAATAAAGCCTCAGATCTATACGATAGACAAATGGTGGCGCTTATTTCCATAGATTAACAGGGTCTTAGTGTTGTCTCGGTTTCTGTTTCGTTTTGGCTTTGGATTCGGCATCTCTTGAATGCTTTTTTTCCATGGCCATACTTACGACTCCTTGGCTTTCATCAAATTGAATTGAGTTCTCATCTAACTTACGAGCTAAGCCCTTCCAGGCTGCTCCCCTTTGATGCTTTTGGCTCATCATAATTCCGGAGAGCCAGAAGAGCCACCCACATAAATCCAGCAGCAAGTGCCTGATGCCTGCTGCCTGCCTCGTCTGGTGCTCGTGAATTATGCATGCAACAAATTGTATAAAAATTTCTGCAACTTTACGTGGTTACGTGCAGAAATTTGGAAATCAAGCGGAGCGCCAAGCAGACCCCAGAAATTTGAGGCATACTTGTCAGGGGTCTGCTGCTGGTCCCCAGCCAAAAAGGACCAAAAGGACTCTGGTGGCCTCTGGCTTAGCCAAAGTCAACCCCCAAAGGATATATGTGTGTGTATTCGAGTATTCTGTCGAGTCCCGGGCAACGTTTACAAAGTGATTACTTCTGTTTAAAAATTGATGTCTCGATGTTGGACACGTTTTCAATTTCCAACGAAATGGCGCGTGCTGCTGCCACACCCACACCCACACCCACAACCCCACCCCGCCCCCAGATAGCTCTCCCACCCACCACTTACAGGTGTACTTTCATGCCGGATCCATTTCCAATTGATGGCAAAACTTGTTGGTGCGTCAAAAATTGTCCCAAAGAAGTGCCTTAAATGACTTTTTGTCAAGTCGTTAAAACTGAACACAAAAAATGTGTTGTTTCTGCTTCTCTCACACTCTCTTTGTGTTTGGGTCTTTGGCTTTGTCTTGTTTGGTTTTAATCACCGATCGGCTGTCATGTCTGGGTCTGAATGGCAATTAAATGGTCTACGAATCGTTAAATCATGGATGATTAACTCAGTTCAGCTGCTGGGGCTGCCTGGTGCTGCTGTCCTTGAAGATTTAGTGCCGTTGAAAATCGTTAAGATCTGCTTCACAGTCCCCAAAAGAGTGGGGGCTCGTATCAATTCAATAGACGAACTGCTGTCGCATAATCGATGAAATCCCCTGCCCCGGACCGGTTGTGCTCGCTTTTCTCCACCCAGCCATCGAGCCATGGAGCCATCGAGCCAGCCAAATTATTCGGCCATCGATGTCTAATTGCCACCTCGGAGGCAGCTTTGAATGGAAATGTGTCTCTCTGTTGTCTTTTGGTGGGCCTACCTCCTAAATGGCTTTTTAATTTGGTCAACGAAAACGGGTTGAAAACGTTACTGTTTTTTGTTGGCTGCGGCTTGACGTTTTATGGCCCTTGGACTGCCTTGGGGGGAATGTGTGGAATGTTTGTTTCATTTGCATACGAGGGCCAGCCAGCCAGCGCCCTGAAGTATGCAGCACTTTTTGTGCCTGTGCATATGTGTGTGTGTGTGGCATTGCTGGAAGGTGTGCGGAGAGCATGCCCCTTGTGACGGACACGAATTTCACATTAATTCATCGGTTTAAATGCCTTTCCCCAACTCAAACTTCAGCTGGCTCCCGGCGGAGGGCAAAGTTTGATTAAGCCCCCAGTCGAGAAATGCCAATAGCTAGCGTCGGTTTTGATACATACTTATGTATCCCATATACATGACCAACTTCCATATAAGTCGGATAGATAGCAGTCGGAGGAGCAGGAGGGTGGAGCAGTGGCTGGAAGGATATCCATTTGCCAAAATAGCAAAACTTGCATAAAAACTTTTGCGCAACAACTTGGACTTTTTCATCAAACAAAAGCAAAAGGAAAAGCACCCACACACCCACTCAGACACACAGACACACAGACATCGGGAAAATGAAACAAAGTTTTAATGCAGCCAGAAACACGAGCCGGGGGGATGCGGGTGCCAGGGGGGAGACCGATGCTAGGCAGGCAGCCAACCAAGAGCCAACTAAACCAACCAAAACACACTCCCACTCGGGATAGACAAACTTGCAACGCGCCTCTC